CCGCGCTTGAGGTGGTCCGGCCCGTTTCGCCTGAGACTTCCTCGCAGCACGTTTCGCCCGAGACATCGTCGCAACTCTCGGGTCCAAGATGCCGCGCGCGAGGTGGTCCAGCCCGTTACGCTGGAGACATTCTCGCAACTCTGGGCTCCGAGATGCCGTTCGGAATGAGGAGGTGGAGGAGGAGGAGGAGGAGGAGGAGGAGGAGAAGAAGAAGGAGAAGGAGAAGGAGAAGGAGAAGGAGATGGAAGGGAGAAGGAGGAGGATAATGATGTGGATGAGGGAGCAGGCAGGAGGAGGGGGAGGAGGAGGAGGAGGAGGAGGAGGAGGAGGAGGAGGAGGAGGGAGAAGGAAGGGAGTTGCAGGGAGGACCTAACGGGAAGCGAGTGTGACGTGGACATGTCAGCACGTGTGCGACAGGTTGTCCGGCCCGTTTCGTTTGAGACATCTTTAGAATATTGAGCTCCAAGATGTCGCTCGCGAGGTGGTCTGGCCCGTTTCGCTTGAGCCATCCTCACAATGCGAAGCTCGAAGATGTTGCGCGCGAGATGGTCTGGCCCGTCCTGCCTGAGACGTTTCGTAGCACAGGGGCTCCAGTCACAACCTCTCTCATTCCTTCTCCCGCCTCCCTCTTCCCGCTTCCCGCCTGGCTCCTCTTCCCTCCTCCCTCCTCCCGCCTCCCGCCTCCCGCTGCTGCTCTGCCTCCGCCTCCCCGTCCCCGCCGTCGTCGTTTCTGCCGCCTCCGCATCCGTCATGCGCGCCCTGCCTTCCGCCCTTCCCAGACATCCGACGTCACGATTTCTCTTTTGAGACGTGCGCCGCGTACCCCTCGATATCATCCCCGGGGGAAGCATCACGACATGCCCCCCCGCTTCCGCGCCCTCCCCCGTTTCCTCTCACAGTTGCTTCCGAGTTCACAGCATGGTGGTGGAGCCTCTCACAGTGCCGACCCGACAGCTTACTCGTCGACCAGGCGCGGGAGAGTACGACACGCTCTAGCGTGAGTTCCTGGTAGGCATGCGTCACACAAGTTGTCATGTAAAGATCTCATGTGCAAGCATCAATCATGTTATCATGTTTTAACATGCCATGCCAGCCCGCACTGGACGGGCACGCAATCGACCTTGGAAACCGCAGTGGGTTTAAAAATCTGGTTTGGGGATACTGCACTCCAGCTATAATGAACTTTATATGTTCGGGCCCCCGGCGATTTTCCAGATTTTGGCCCCGGCGGGACCTTGGAGGTGCACGGAAGCGGTGTGGCGCAAACGTTTGCCATGCGCTGTGGTGCACGCGGCTCCTGTGGTGTGCACAAGCACCGCAGTGTACACCAGCGTTGTTGTGCATAGGGGTGTTGTCGTGTACACAGGCATTGTGGTGCACATAGGCACTATTGTCTAGACAGGCACTGCGGTGTACAAGCAGCTGTGGTGTACAAAGGCGTCGTGGCGCACGCTAAACAGGCGCCGTGGCGCACGGCAGACAGGCGCTATGGTGTACACAACATGATCGGCCAAAAACGGGGGGACCGTACCCTGGGCCATAAGAGGTCAATCATCACAAATAAGTTACATATTGAATTTGATGCGTTCGGGCCCCCGACGATTTTCTGGAGCTTGGTCCCGCCGGTATTGCCTTCAGGCGTGCACGACTTTTGCGGTGCGCGCAGGCGCTCGGGTGCACAGGGGGTGCTGCAACAGAAGCTGTGGTGCACGCAGGCGCCGTGGCGTGCGCAGCTCACGCGATGTACAAATGCGTCGTGGCGCACGCGATGTTATGGTATACGCCGTCGCCGTGGTGCACCCGTGCTGTGTGCACTGGCGCTGTGGGCTTGGGCGGCGACGACGACGACGACGACGACGGAGGCGGCGCGCCTCAGGGGGTGCGCGCCGCGGTCCCAGTCACCGTTACCACCCCCCACGCCCCCTTCCCCCCGGGGAACATGCGTCATCCCCCATGAATAAAACAATGTCTCTAACCTCGCTGTGTCTCTCGTCGCGCAGATCCCAGTCCATTTCAAGCGCCTTCCTACTTCAAGAATACTTATCTGGGCTGGCCCGAAGCCAATTTACTTGATCCGCCTTCCTACTTCACGTTTCCAGGAACTTCTTCCGACTGGCGGGTGCCCAGAAATGGCCGCGTCGTGGAAAAATCACGACGGGAGGTGTTTGGCCATTTTCTGCCTTTGCTTCGCCCGGCTCCAGGACCGCAGAAGAACGACTCGGGGTGCAAAACCAGCCCCGGGCAGGGAATTGGGACTTCTTCGGACGGGCCTAGCAGGACGAGGGTAAATCCGTCCCAGAGCGTTCCAGAGCGTTCCGGAACGCTTTGAGAAGGCCGCGGCGCCCGAGAGATCCTCCAGAGCCGCCGGATCTCAGAGATCTTCGATGCTTCCTCACCTGATGTTGTCCTCGTCCTGATGTCGTCTTGAGTCGGGACTTCTGGGGGCCCCATCCCGAAAGAGTAAGGGCATCGCAGGCCTGGGTACATGTGCATGGCCCCTGACCAGACCCGTCCTGGTCCCAGGAGCGGCGCACATATCTCCCCGGCCGAGCCGCTCCTGGGCCCAGGATGGGCCTGGTGGCTGCGCTGCGCTACAGTCAACGCGCCTAGTAAGGACGCGCGCCTTCATCTAGGGTGCCCTTGTGTCCTTGCCTCTGCGGCCCGTCCTTTGCCGTTTTTACTGGTAGCCCGTCGCCAAGATCCCCACTTCGGCCTCCAAGGGTTTTGCTTCCTTACCACCCGTCCTTACATACAGGTTTTGACTGTGCTCCCGATCGGCCTAAGGTCCCCCTGGAGCCGCGCACCAAAGGCCACTCTTGCCCACGATTACCCTTGCGTGCAGGCCAATCAAGCGGACCGGGGCCACCCCGGTGGGGCCGAAGCAAATGGAGTCGGAGGACCGCATCGGCGATGCGGCACGATCCGAAGCACGAGTTCCTCCAGCTCTACGTCGCCGATGCATTGGCTGTGCGGTGCGATTTGCCGACCCCATCAATTGCGGAGGTTTGGAGAGCCGAAAGTCTCTGGATGCATTCCTCACGCTTCGCGTGCCCCCACCAGCCCATCCTGAAAAGCTGCCGATGAGAGCTGATCTTTTTGATGCCCTCTTAGGGTCCTCTTGGGGCTCTCGGGACCCACTTGGAGCCCCTGGGGCTCGTTTGGTGGCTCTTGGGGCCCACTTGCGAGCCTTGGAGGTGCGAGCCTTGGAGGGCTTCTCGGGGCCATCTTGGAGACCAAGAGGGGGGTCCTTTCTCTAGCCATTCTTCAAAACTATAGATTGCAGCCCTCGTGGGGCGTTGTTAGGGCGCTCTTAGGCGCTCTTGAGGCCGTCTGGGTGGCATCTTGGACCCCTCTTGGACCATCTTGGGGCCATCTTGAGGCCTCAGAAACCCATCGCTCGCGAGAAGGCACAAAGGCACATTTAGTGTTTGTTCCTTCGGTGTTTGAAGGATGTTGGACTCTTGGGGGGATCCTGCGGTGGCTCCGAGAGCACTTGGAGCCGTCTTGTGGCCATCCTGGGGCATTTTGGAAGCATGTCGGAAGCTATCTCGAATCATCGTCAGCTATGTTGAGCGATTTGGGAGCATCGGAGGAGCCACTTTGGGTGACGAAGGACCCCCTGACACCTCCGCCCCCCTCCCAACAAGACCCTTGGGAGAGGGCAAGGGGAGGCGTCAGGCTACCCGCAAGCAACAAGCCGTCTCGCTCATTCCCACCCGCCCTCCCAACACATAAGTAGCACCCCAGTCTCAGCATGGACAGGGCCAGCATCGACAACCATCGCGAACCAGTGCAGACGCCAGCCAGGTGCGCGAAGCCCGCGACGTACGCCGCGCGTGCCAGCTGCGCCACGCGCACCAGGAGCGCCACATTGGGCAATAGGTCGACCCTCCCATAGCACCTGTCAAAAAAACAATACACAAGGACGGCCGCTTTGTTGTGTGCATGTGTGAGAGCACGATCGTGTTGCATACGTTTGTTGTCAGGGACGGTGTTCCTGCGCACAGCAGGCAGTATGCCGCCGTCCCTTGCAACATGAGTTGTTGTTTTTGTTTCTCGTTAAAAAGGGATGGTGGGCCTGCACGCAGCATTCTGCCGGCATCCCCCACGTCCATTGTAAAAAAATACTGCAATGTGAGCGCGAGGCTTCCGCGCATGATCCAGACGTTAGTGCAAAGTTCATGTTGTTTTGATTTTTGCAAGGGATGGTTGGGGGGTGTTGGCGTTGCACACAGCAGGCGATATACTGCCCCCTTCCGCCGTCCCTGTCAAAAACTAATGCAACGTGATCGCGAGGCGTCCGCGCCTTACACTGTGTGCACAGTTTTTTTAAATAAGGAAGGGATGGTGGGTGGTTGTTGGCATGCGCGCAGCAAACAATATGCCAGCACCCCCGCCGTCCCTCGAAAAACACCCATGCAAAATGTTCGCGGGGCGCCCGCGCATGCTCCAGATTTGGAGGCAACGTCTATGTTGTGTTAGTTGTTGATTGGGATGGTAAAGGGAGGGGGCGCATGAGTGCCCGCATGGATCCGAGCTGGCTGCCGCGCGGTCGGGGGGTCCTGGGTTGGTCAGCCTCCCGCGTGGGGGTGGAGCGGACCCAGGCCCCCCACTCTGCTCGGGGCTTCACTCCGCGCTCGGCGCAAACCCATGCCATACCATACCTCTCCGCCCCCCCCCCCTCCACTTCGCTCCCTCCAGGCTCCAGGCCCCCCCCCTCGCGCGCTGGCCCCAGTCGGCCGGAGGCAGACGCGCCAGGGGCCTCCCTCGCCCTGCTCGCCGTCCGCATCGTCCGCGCCCTCGTCGCCGTCGTCGTGGGCGTACTCGCTCGCGCCCTCGTGAGCCGAGTCCTCGCCCGCCTCGTGCTTCTCCTCGCCGTCCTCGTGCTCGTCGTCCTCTTCGTCGTCCTCGTTCTCCTCGCCCTCGTCGTCCTCCTCGTCGTCCTCGTCCTCGTCCGCTTCGTCGTACTCGTCGTCTCCGCCGTCGGTGCCTTCGGCGAG